CAATGCTAGTACCAGAATTTATAGACTATATTTGTTTATTGTTTTGAGACAGGATCTCTCAATGTAGCCCTGGTTGTCATGGAACTACTATGTAGATTAGGCTGGCCTTGAACTCATAGAGGAAATGCTTGCCTGTGCCTCTCAAGTGCTGAGATAAAGGTATGTGCCACCATACCCGGCCTATTTGTTGACGTCTGAAAGAATGCGGGGAGGAAATACTTGTAAAAACTACTATAAACCCCACTCTCTGAGGCCTTTCTTTGTATATAGCGAAACTACAAAGGACATAGCCAAGAAAGGAGGAATAAAGCATGACCTTCACATTCAGCTTAGCTCGTCTGATTTAAAGCTAAGCGCCCCAGCCTACCAGTGCTGAAGGCAGTGTCCCCGCCTGTGCCGCTTTGTGGCTCACCCAGTCAGTAGTCTGTCGATTTGGGTACTTAAGCAATGTGGCTTTAATTAAATGTCATGCTTTTGTCAGATGTCTTAGGTTGCTAGTGGGTACAGGAGACATACTTGTTGACCCAGCACAGGGAGTTCAAGAGATGAGCGCAAGTATCCCTCCCGCCTGCGCATGGCAGGTCAGCAAGACCTCTTGGGAACAGGGTGTTGCTGACCTGCCTCTTCCCACACACAGGCTCCTTGCCAGCTGAGGCCTGCTGGGCTGTGCAGGAAGTACCCCCACAGGCCATGTCTGGGATTCACAGTTCCACTGCCCTGTGTCCACCCAGTGCCTACCCCTTCCGCTGTGTCCTGGAGTGGAAAGGGTGCCCTTAGAGCCTGTCTGGAGCTTGGAAGAGCTGCTTCCCAGCCTCTGCATCTGCCAGTTCTTTTCAGACTCGCAGTAGAACTGATCCAGGCCGTTATGGTCTCCATGAGGGAGGCCTCCCTGCCAGCAGAAAACAGTAAAAGAAACGCTGCCGGGGAATGGTCTGGGAAGAATGCTCACCCATGGCCTCCTTCACAGTTGAATTTGCTTTAAGGGTGTGTTGGGGTGGAGAGTCACCTCAGCTCATCGTAGTGATCTGCTCAGACTTGGATTTCTAAAGGTGGGTGGGACAGGGATTAGGAGGAGAGAGGACTTGGGTGTCTAAGAAGCACTAGCAATGGTTTGTCTGAAGTAGTGTGGGGGAGGGGGAGTTGGCTGGAATTGGAGAGGGTAGCCTTGCAGGGTGGGGACTGCTGGACGGACACAGAGGCAGGCAGATGGCAGCTCCACTGTGGATGCTTACAGGGTCTCCAGGCTCCTGGGGAAAGTCTGGACGGATGCTGGAGGAGGAGCTGGACTTGGGAAAGAGGGCCGTGGGAGTTGCCGAGAGTGAGGGAGCAAGCCCAAAGGCATGCTGGAGAGGCAGGTTTTCAAAGTTCTCCAAGTAGCAGACCCTTCTGTAACTCATGACTGAAGAGAGTGACACACCTGCAGTCCTGTGGCAAATGAAAGCTAGTGTGGTAAGTCCAGAGCCACTGTACCAGAGACCTGTGGGTGCTGGCGGAACTACAGAGAAAACCAAATCCCTGCTAGGCAGGGAGTAGCCACTGATAGCCAGATAGGATTGCCCACAGTCAGGAGAGAGACATCGAGTTTTGAGGAGATATGTTTATGTTTGGGATGGGGTCTTCCTGTGCTTCCTGGACTGGCCTCATTCTCAGTCTTTTTTGCCTCAGTCTCCTAGAAACCAGCATTATAGGTGTGTGTTTCTGGGCTCAGAGAGTATTCTGGCAATATATGTCAGAAATTTTATAAAGCCTTTGACCCAGAATTCCCCCTAGTAGGACATCTTTCTAGAATGCATTCACATTTATGTAAATATTTCACAATGTAATAAAGTGCATATTAATATGAAAGACCTCCAATATGGATTAAGTGAAAAGACAAGAATGGGAACCACATTTGATATACTTCTGTCAGAATAATAAGTATATACATGGTTGTATGTTATTGCACATTTTGAGATGATCCTCATCTCTGAGACTTGGGACTAAAAGAACTTCCCTTTTCTAAGCCTTGATATCTATCACTTTGAATTTCTCCCGTTCAGCTTCCACTAATATTTAAGAGAAACATTGATTTGGGGCTGTGAAAGCCATTGGAGTCAGACCAGTGGGAGGAAAGGCTGTGGATAGAGAGGACTGAGGGCCCTAGTCCCGGGGTTGGTTAGCAGGGGCAGGCGGGGCAGGCTTCTGAGGAGGACAGAAGGTTAATGGAGGTAGGTAGCCAGGTCAAGTTACCCAGAGGTGAGGAGAGTGACTGTGGGGTTTGAGAGGAGGCTAGCCTGCTGACCCACGGCCTCCCCTTGTTTCTGCCTTGCTGGAGGACACACTGCCCACTTGTTGCCAGTTTGCTTCTGTATAAAAAAAAGAAAGAAATTGGGGAAAATCAGGGCATGTTCTTCGATGCACCCTTCGTTCCTAGTTTTTTTTTTTTTTTTTGTTCAAGAGCCTGGGACTCGTGCCTGAATGCCTATGATGGCTGCTAGGAGGATGCTCTTCTCTTCATCCCCCGGGGCTGTAGGATTTCTGCCCACTCTTTAAGAAGGCACTGTAGATGGAAACATGGTGCTCTAACTTTGTCTTTGTTTGTATGGTTTCCATCGTTCCTGACCTAGTCTCTCTCTTTTTTCCCTTCTAAAGTTGGATGGTGACTAACATTGAGCACAAAGGCAGGCCCATTTAGAGCTTTCGACTTTTATTCCCTCACTATCAGGCCTGACCCTTTTCTTTAGGCCTGGGGATTTCACAGTCGTGCTGGCATAACAGGTTCCCGAATAGAGTGTTTTCCTCACCCCAGGATTTCTGTGCTATTTACCACCACCAACTAGGGCAGGTGAAGAACCTAAGGCCTACAGCCCATATCCCCTCCAGGCACCTTTCCCTATGACCTGTTTCCTACCTGAAGTCTATTACACACACACACACACACACACACACACACACACACACACACACACACACACACACATACACCACACAGTTCACCTGGTAAAGAAGAGTGTCTGGAGTTTGGAGGGTTTCAGAAGTGAGCATCTTACACATGGCCCACACTTTGCTTTCTGAATTCCAGCTTCTTTGGGACTGGTTAGGTTTGCTTCAAGAACTATATTATTATAAACCTCCTCTCGTGTTTTAATTTTGTGGGGTTTGTTGTTGTTTGCTTTTACTCTATCCTTCTAAACTTGGGAGCCAGCTTTCTTTTTTAAAAAAGATTTTATTTATTTACTTATTTATTTATTATGTATGCAGTGTTCCTCCTGCATGTTTCCCTGCAAATCAGAAGAGAACACCAGATAATGTTACAGATGGTTGTGAGCCACCATGTGGTTTCTGACTTTTAACCTGTGAGCCATCTTTCTAGCCCCTCTGAGCCAGTTTTCTTTAAAGAGTATTTTAAATTCTGACACCTGAGCAGTGGCAATCCTCAGTCTGTGCTCTGAGCTGGAGCTTGTTCCCGAAGCTCCTGTTTCCTGCCTTCCAGGGGGTGACTCTTTTGTTCTCAGGGTTTTCTTTTGGGAGGGGTTGGTTTTTCAAGACAGGGTTTCTCTGTGTAACAACACTGACTGTATTGGGACTCGCTTTGTAGACCATGCTGTCCTTGGACTCCCAGAGATTGACCTGCCTCTGTTTCCCTAGTGCTGGAACCAAGGGTGTGTGCCACCACCGCCCAGCTGTTCTTAGGATTTTTATTCTTTTGCTTTTGGTTTGATGGCAGGAGTGGCGATTTTTGCAGTGGATCACAGCTGTGGAAGGACATAAGAAGGAGAAGGCATTTGCAGAATCATGGTAGAAGAGAGCCAATGTCTGTTGAAGAACTTCAGTGACTTATAGCTGAGTTAAATTCATGACTAGCTCTAGGCCTGGTGTTGATGGCACACGCCTTTAATCCCAGCACTCAGGAGGCAGAGGTAGGCCTATCTCTGTGAGTTCCAGGCCAGCCTGGTCGACAGAGCGAGTTCCAAGACAGGCTCCAAAACAACCCTGTCTCGAAAAACAAAAAACAAAAAGTTCATGACTAGTTCTATGGGAATTCATCTTTACATTAACTAAAGTCTAAGCAAGCACCATACCTCAGTGAAATGGAGATTCTGCTAGCTCAAAGTCTCCTGGTTGGCCTAGAAATGGCTCAGTATGTCATCAAATTTGTTTTTTGTTTTGGGTAGCGATCAGCTGGTGATCGGTAATTGTGCATTCATTTAGCATGGCTGTGGCCTTGCTTCCAAGGCATTCACTCTCTTGACAGGTGGTGTTTTGGAAACTTAATTTGGTGTATTGTATGTGCATGTGTGTGGCAAGGGAGGCCACAGGAGGGTACTTTGGGTGCCTTGCTGTATCACTCTTTACTGTATTCCCTTGCACAGAACTGAGACTTGCTGTTTTGCTCATTGGTTTCTGGCATCTGCCTGTTTATACACCCCACCCCTACCTGAGCTGGGGTTATAGACACTTGTGCCCCTGCTTTTACATGGGTGGTAGGGCTCCAAACTCAGGTTGTGCAAGTGTTCTTATCCACAATTGGTTCTTGAGCATAGTGTCACATGCTCAAGACCAGCAAGACACCTGTGATGAAGCAAGCTCAGTGCCTGCCCTCAGGGGGAGAGTTTAAGTGTCTGATTTGTCAAGTGTGCTAGTCAAGGGAATGTTTTTATGATCTAACTTAAAGCTAAGGAAAAGGCCGGGCGGTGGTGGCGCACGCCTTTAATCCCAGCACTCGGGAGGCAGAGGCAGGCGGATCTCTGAGTTCGAGGCCAGGCTGGACCGATAGCCTCCAAAACAATACAGAGAAACCTTGTCTCATAAAACCAAAAAAAAAAAAAAAAAAAAAAGCTAAGGAAAAAAACAAAACAAACAAGAAGACCAATCCCTGTCTTTTGGACTAGGTAACCTAGTCAGGGGACAGACCATGTCAAACAGAACATTCTGAAAGGTATCAGAGAGTACCAAAGGAAGCCATTGTGGAGATGAGCTGCACCTGCTAACTGACTGCCTTCTCTCCCTGCCGCCCATAGCATGGACAAGGACAGCCCAGATCTCCACCAGGACCTGAATGCTCTCAAAACAAAGTTCCAAGAGATGCGGAAGCTCATAGGCACCATGCCCGGCATCCATGTGAGCCCTGAGCAGCAACAGCAGCAGCTTCACAGCCTCCGGGAACAAGTCAGGACCAAGAATGAGCTTCTACAGAAGTACAAGAGTCTCTGCATGTTTGAGATCCCGAAAGAGTAGGACCAGCTCTCAGGATAGCTGCCAAGGGACTGAAAGCTTCACACCAGTGGTGTCCAGCTCCTTGGGAGCCCAGCTCTAAACTGGGAGGCCACATGTGCTGGTGTGGGGCCTCAGTGGCTGTACTCAAGTCTTACTAGCTATGCCCTGGCCCCATCAGCAGATCTAGAGGGCACAGAAGGAGAGGAGGTGGCTGTTCCCTTCTTTCCCTTAGCTCCTACCACTCCTGATATCATCGGTGTATATCTGGTACATACTGTTCCTGTTAATGGCAGTTTCATGAAGCATTTGCATAGAATTCGTGGGATAAATTAGGCCTGCACTCAGATGGCATGGATTTAATATAATTAAAGAAGGCTGGGAGAGTGTGAACATTGTTTTGAAAGGCCAGAGGGTGGGTGGCTTCTCCCCCAAAACAGTTCACTTCCTTTTTTTGTTTGAGCTACTGAATGAACCTGGATCTCCGGGCGTCATCCCAGAGCTCTGCCAGCCAGCCACCAACTCCAGTTTGCAGCCTCCTGCACACTAGCCTTGTAGACTCCTGCTCCCTTTATCTCCATCACTCCAGGCAGTGCTCAGAATAGCCAAAGCACTGCTTGCCTGGGGCCTTTTGTCCTTCCCACGCTGGCTCAAAGAGGCTGTTGAACTAGCAGCTCTGCCCTGATTCATAGGCCCTAGCTTACCACGTCATCTCCTCGCTAGCCAAGGAGTCAGCCACATTTGCTACCCTGCACATGGTCCCTGCACACTTCTGGTTTGGAGCAGAGTGCCTGGAAGGGGTAATTGGGGTGGTCCTTCAGCCAGGTCTGTCGGGCAGGGGTAGCTAAGCCTGGAGGTTCTAGAGCTGTGTGCTAGTTGTAGAGTGTGCCCTGCTAGTCCCGTGGGGGACACTGTGTTCTCTCCCTCCCAGGGGCTGTCACACTGAGGGCTCTCGTGAGTAAGGTGAGAAGTACTCAATATTGTTTGGATCTTGAAATGGGCACAGCCTGGGTTGACCAGTTTAGGACTTAGCAGGTGCCTGCCAGCTAACCTTGTTGGCAGAAGTACTGGCTGAGGATGTTTTTAGCAGGGGCTCTGGTGGCATTGTCTATCCAAGATGCCTCAGTTGGACCTGGGATGTATTAAAGAGGGTGCAGAGTTCCAGAGATTTGGACAGAAAAGAGTTTGAGAGTAGAGTGCCAATTAAGTCACGTCTACCTGGGAACTGCTATTTAACTGAATCAGTTATTTTCTGGAAAGTTGGAGCAGTGGGTGAGCTGGTTTTAAGGTTCTGCCCCATTTTTGTGAAACGCAGAGCACATGAGATGCAGGAGCTTCAGATCCTCCTGCTAGACAGAGACAGAAAGCTCCTCAGAGGACCAGAGGGGATCAGAAGGGATGGAGACTTCTCTACTCCAGTGTGCTGACCTGTTACATTTGCAAATACGGAATTAAAAGTGTGCTCTACTCTCAGGATGCATGATTTGGCTACTGTCTTTTTTTTAAAATTTTTTCAATAGTGCTAGGAGTCAAACCTTGGGACTGCAGGTTTTATAGCGAAGAATTAGAAGGGAGTGTTGATTAGGTAGTATAGAGGCAAATTGTTCTCTGCTCCTTCCTCCACCCAACATGTGCATCTATTAAATTACATAAAAGCCTGCATGTTTCCTGCAGGGGACGCTGGGCAACCCAGCCATCCATTGTTGAGAAGTGAATGCCTTTCTGTGATTTGACAGTTCCTTGGAAGTGGCCCTTCCCAAAGCAGGGTTGAAATCCCACCCCCAGGACAATGTTGAGCATCCCTTGAAGCTCAAGACCCTCTTGAAAACCACCAGACACTTGGCTCATGGGTACCGATGTTGTGCTGATCCTGAGATACCAAGCTGACCCCCCCCCAGAGTGCCTCTGTTTCTCAGCTGCAGAGTTAGAGGTTTGGAGGGTGAGGCCTGCCCCCAAGTAGGAGTGGTTAGGAGATCTGGGTCACAAGCCATGAACCCTTGGCCACAGAGGGAGACAGCAAAGTGCAGAGGAGATGGGCCTCGCCTGGTGAGTGCTTCTGGGGGCTACACCACAAGCTGTCAGCACTTTACTAGGTACTGTGGCAGCCCTGAGGCAGGGGATAAGCATCTTATACTGGCATCTTCCCAGATACACCTCAGGCTCCTTATTTGTGGTAATCAAGGTCAGGGTTTCAAGAGTGAGGGCTTTCTGTTGCCTGCCACAGCTGAGTAACAGATGGGACAGTGTGGAAGGATGCTATGAATATATCTTCAGAAATGAGGCCCTCTGTGACAGGCCAGGATAGGCAAAGCTAGGTCTAGAGCATGTCCCAGTTGGAAGCTGGGAGACTCTTTTCAGAAGGCAAGGTCTCCCAACCCCTCCCTCCCCCCAGTTCTGCTTGGCCACTTCCACTGAGGCAGGAACCCAGCTCCCTAAAAGCAAGAGCAAAGAAAACCTTATTTTCTATTTTTAAATTATTTTATTTTAAATAAAAAAATAATAAAGACCTCACACAATAGAGAGATTTTGTTCATGTCATGTTGACACTGAAACTAAATTAAAGTGCAAGTTTTGTGGGTTTTTTTTTTCTTTTGAGCAATTTCACACACACATGTAAACAAGTCTCTTGCCTATGATTGAACCCCCCACCTCTCGCCAAAGTTTCCAGTTTGCAGAAGACTGAAGTGGCTGGCAGCTGTCATGGCAACACCAGTCACAGACAAGATAATGCCTTGTTGGTCCTGGCCCTCCAGCAGGCAGGACAATTAGTTACTTGAAGTCTCACCGGCGGTTGAACACACACACTCGTTCTTAGGTCTCTGAGAAAAAATGACAAGTACCCCTCAGCTGGGTCTTGGCATCCCAAAAGTGAGGGCAGGCACCAGCGGGGGTGTCACTGTCAAGAGCGTCCATCTTAGCCAGTTCTCTTTCCTTTCACAACAGATGACTGTCCCTTTATAGTCTCCCGGTGCTCAGGGCTGGGTCGCACGAAGCGAGGAAGGAGGCCAATTGGCGCCCTCGTGGCACGGAGCACGCGGGCTAGCCCAGGAATCCGATTTGACTTTTAAACAAAAAAGGTCCTCAGGTTGTGTGGCCGACGCTGGGGACTCCTAACTGATGACACAGCGCTCCTTGTCTTTGGCCTGGTTGCCGACACTGGTCTTTTCACGAATGTACATGAGGTCGCTGTGCACGCTGGGTCTGCGCGCAAAGGGCGCCAAGATTCCAAAGGCATCGCCGGGGTCGCCGCCGCCGCCGCTGCCTGCTCGCAGAAGCTTCTTGTTCCTCAAAGCCTTTTTGTGCAGCACGTCACAGTACTGCACAGACACTTTGCGGTGCAAGTCGGGGCTCATCTCGCTGGGCAGCTTGGCCATGGCAAAGAGCGCACGGAACATTTGGTCCAGGCTGCTGTTCTTCTTGGCCGAGATCTCGAAGTAGGCACAGCGCTGAGGGTCGTCGCCTACCAGCTGCTCGATCTCGCGCTGCTCCACTTCTCGGTAGAAGTCCCGGTCCCCTTTGTTACCGCAAATGACCAGAGGCACGTCCACATTCTCTTTGGTTTTGTTCTTGAGGCAGGACTTGGTGTCTAGAATCTGCTGTTTGAGCCTTTGCACCTCCTCGAATGAGTCGCGGTTGTCCAAGCTGAACACCAGAATGAAAACGTCTCCTATAGGGGAACGAGTAGGAAAGGTGAGGGCAGTTGTTAGTAGTGGAACGGCCGACGGCCGCGGCCCCATGTGTGACACACCAGCACCCCCCCCCCCCCGCGACCCCCGACTCCGGCCCCCCCACTCACCTGTGAGGATGGAGAGGCGCCGCATGGCAGGGAACGGATGATTGCCGGACGTGTCCAGTATGTCCAACTGATAGACCTCGCCGCGGATCGAATAAAACTTTCGGTGGAAGTCCTCGATGGTAGGAGTGTAGGCGTCCTCGAAGCGGCCCGTGAGGAAGCGCGACACGATGGCAGTCTTGCCCACTTTGGATGAGCCGAGGATGACCATCCGGTAGCAGTTCTTGGCAGGGATATTCAGCTCAGAGTCGCTCGGGCACATCTTCTTGATCATCGCGGCCAGTTTCATTGGGCAACGGGGCCCCGGGGGCAGATGCGGAGCCGAGAGAAGGTAGAGGCTCGGAAGTGGCGAAAGGGCTTGGCTTCGGGACCGCTGGAGCTTAGCTGGGCTCTTGGGGACAGCAGGCACTAGCTTTCCGCGCACCACACCGCCCTTATAAGCAGCGTGCCGAAGCGCCCGGGCTGGCGCCTCCCAGCCAAGGTGCGTCACGTCCCGCCCCCCGGCACGCCCTGCTCCTCCCAGATGCAGCGACCTCTGCCTTGGAGCCCGCGGCTCCGCTACAGCCCTACATGCCCTGGAAGGAAAACTAAGTCCAAACAACCGCCACGCGAGGATTCGGTGCTTCCCAGCTGCGACTTCAGCGGCTGCAGGGGTCTTGGTGTGCCGGTGACTGACCCTTGGGATCCCCATTCTCTCAACACCAGTGCGCACTCACTTTTCTTGGGCTTCAGTTTCCCAGAAAATACAATCCGGTGATAACAACAGGCGCCAGCCCCTCAGGTCCACAGGCCCGCGTTGCCTTTCGGGGCTTTGTGTTCGGTTTTGGGGTTTCCTGTGCTAAGGCCCGCGCTTTGAGCTTCCGCCACCAGAGGGAAGCAGGGAGCCCCCGCGGACGCGCTGGGAGGCCGAAGGTTGTGGCCAGGCCAGTAGGGCTGTAAGGTGTAAGGCAGGGAGCCAATTGAAACCGACCCCCCCCATTCCCGTGCTTTATTCTCCCAATTAAAGACAATCTGATCTGAGGGAACCTCAGCGAGGGACAGCTGCCATCCTCTGTCCCTGACGACATAGAGACACGCCCTTAAAAAAATGTCAGACCTAGGCCAGCGTCCCCTACAGTCTCCTATGGCTTTCTGGCTTTTTCCCTCTTGTGGGCCAATCATCTCATTCTGCACTGAGTGAGCTAGTGGTGCCAAAAGTCCCAGAGGAGGTCTGAGAGCACAGCCTTCTCTGTAGCTCAGTTTCCCTTTCTGGAAAACGACACCGGTTCCTTGATTGTGAAATTATAAGTGCAAACACTTTCCAGTCCCAGGCCCTGGTCAGAACAATAAAAGTGTGTAGAACCAGGGAGGCTGCTCAAGGAGGAAGCCAGCAGCAGGTTGATGAGTAACCAGTGCTGAGTAACGCTTGGAGAGAAGCTGGATGTGTCTGCTGCTTGTGACTGGTGATGACGACATCAAGCTGTGTTTTCATTCTGCTTTGACCTTGTCTGATTAGGAGAGGACCAGAGACCCACCAGCTGACAAATGCCACTCACTCAACTAGGCAGGCTTGGTGCTGCACGGGCAGGGCTAAGTCATTCTCACCCATTGAGATATTTGCATAGTGCACCCAAGGTTTCATCTCTTCCTTGTGACCCAGGATCTCAGCAGCAGCCTAGCCTCTGTAGAGCAGTAGCAGCCATCCTGCCCAGGGACCACAGGGCCCAGGGGTGTTGATTTGGTGGTCCTGGTACTATGATAACTCTGTATGTTGCAGATGAAGATACTAATAAAGCACAGGGAAGCAAACTACTTACCTAGCAAGGAAGCCTGGGGCTTGGGCCCCTGGGCCACCTGGCTCTCAGCTGTCCCATCCTCACCTCTGCTTGTGTCCCCCACAATAGGGCAACAACGCTGTTGCAATTGTCTGGCCCATTTCAGACCAGCAGGATATTCATATTCACTCCCTTCCCTTCCAGGCTGCTTCAACATCCATATCAATTGAGTAACCCAGGCCTCATCAGCTACATCTAGGACAGGCCAGGTGGGGTGAGTCCTTCATCACTCTTGGTTTTTGCCCCCACTGATGCTCTCCCTCCCTTTTCCATCTGGGGCATCTGTTCTCATCTGTGAGAAGAACTTGAGCCCAAGCCAAACACAGGACTGCTATGTACAGTAACTAGCACAGAGTGTTCACTGCAGGAAAGCGCCGCTCAAGGTTGCAAGCGAGGGTTGCTCACCGCAGACTGGGGCCGGTTCCTTTGTCTCCAGAAGGCATCGTGTGAAAGGCTGGGGCTCTGACTTGGTATGCCCAGAGCCAATGTCACCATTTCCCTGGGTCTCCAGTCCCAGGAAGATCCAAAGGACTTAGAAGGGTGGCAGGGTCAAAGATCTGGTCCAGCTCTACCCACAGACATCCAGAGGACCAAGCTCAGTTTAGATTCATGGCCTCCTCTCCCTCCACAGTCAATGTCAAGGCTGGCCTGACATCACACCTCACTCCCTTCTTATATGCAAGCCGACAGTGGTAAGTATGGTGGTTTCCTGACACCTTTGAGGCTTATTTACCCAAAATGCTTTGTGATGCAGACTCCATCCCTCGGGCAGAAGTTCATACAGTCTCTGCTACCAAGTATCCAGTCACATGAGCACTGGGGGTGGCAAGACACCGGTGTCCTGGACAAGACAGCTTTAGTGGCCCCTCCGGCTCTGAGATAGACATAAGATTCCAGAAATAAAGCAAGACCCTCCCGGAGGCCAGCAAGGAAGGCATGCCTACATGGTACCTGCGGTAAGGACTCAGGGCCAGTCTCTGTCCTGGGGAGCGCTAGGAGGGAGCTAAGACTGGGCCTTTTTTCTTACCCGACAGGCACCCTCCCTTTCTTCTCTAGTGCTCTCTACCCTTGGAGGAGGCAGGGACAAGAGCACTTGACCCAGGTGCTGTCACTTTCTCATCTGCCACTAGTGTTGTCACCCACATCTCTGCTACTGAAGCAGAAAGACCTTGGCCATGAAAGAGCAATGGGGTACACAATATCCCTCCCCAACCCAGCCCCAGCCGTTCCTCCCCATGACCACAGTCCTACTAGCTGGCAAGCTAGCCCCTGCTTCCCCCAACCTTTCTATAGCCTCATACATCAGCCTTCAGGATCCTTTGAAGGCCAAAAGAGAATGATGTGTGAGGCAGAGGGTCAGACAGGAAAGGGACTCTTGAACTGCCCACCCAACAAAGGAGATTCTGTCTTCCAGCCTTTAGGCAGGACTGGTATGATGGGGCATGTCCTTCTGTATATATGTTTCTCTTATTGGTTGATGAATAAAACACTGTTTTGCCAATGAGGCTGGAAGATAGGCAGAAGTAGGAGATGAGAATTCTGGGAAAGGTAGGCAGAGGGAGCCCTACAGGACAGACACCATGTAGGCTGCCAAAAGAGTAACAAGTCTGGACATTCTCTGGTAAGCCAAGACCATGTAGAAATACATAGGTTAGTAGTTAAGGGTTAATAATTAAGACAGAGCTAGCCAATATGAAACCCTAGTCATCGACCAACAATTTTATAATTAATACAAGTCTTTGTGATCTTATTTTGGGGCTGAGAAGGGTGATGGGACCTGGCAGGACAAGAAAATCCAGCAACACTGATAGCCTAGGGTTTGGTAATACTTGAGTGCCATAGCCCAGCACCTTCCAAGTGCCAGGCGCTCATGGTCACTGATCATGGCTCATCACTCTAGAGCTCTGGGCCTTGGCACACATCACTCCTGCTGCCGGGCATCACTCTGTTTCCTTTTGCTTGCTGCTCTCAGTTTCAATGCCATCCCATCAGAGAAGTACCATGCAACTACACAGAGAAGAGCTAAGAACACACCCCAGTGTACAAGGTAAAAGACCCTGGATCCAATCCCCACTACCATGAGAAAGACTACACAGAGAGACCCCATCTCAGAAAAGATGATCATCGAGAGTGTAAAATGATGAAGACACCATAAAAAACTATCAGAGGTGACTCACACTACCAAGCATGTGTTACTTGTGACCTAGCAACTCCATTCCTAAGCATATAACCAAAAGAAATGTAAACATCTATATGCATAAAGATACACACAAGTGTTCACAATGGAGTATTAACCACAATAGTCCTGAAGTGAGAACCACACAGTGTCCACCCACTGATTGGGTAAATTAGACACTGTCTACACACAGTGGAGTATTCAGCAATAAACAGAAAAGGGGTCTACTTTGGTTTGAATGCCCCCACCAAAGCACCCACTGAAACCGGAGCTCTACTGGAAGGTGTCGGAGAACAAAACTTAGGCACTTGCGTAGTTCAGAGGTGGGACCTCCCTCTGGGAGTCGTCATGGTTAAGAGAGGGCATAGGGTAGGACTGCAGTCTAACTGGTCTGGGGCTTCATTAAAAGAGCAGCAGGAAGGGAAGTCAGGATGTGGTCTCCTCATGCAATGCCTTAGGACCACTCTAGGACTCTGCAGTCTCCACAAGCAAGGACCTCATCAAATATGGTCACTTGTCAGAGTCTGGAGGTTGGAAGTCTGGGTCCCCAAAATGGGCTCTTGTAAGTGGCGGAGTCTTGAAGAGGTGGGTTGTGGCAGGTGGCTTTTAGGTTATTGTGGGTGTGCCTTTGAATGTGATTGTGGGGCCCAGACCTTTTCATCTGTCATTTACTTCTAGGCCATTGGGTGAGCAGCTTGCCCTACTATGTGCTCTCACCATGATGAACTGTCTTGGCCTGGGCTCAAAGCAACAGGGTCAACTAATCAGGAGGCAGCCCCAGCTCTCTGGCAACCAGCCCACTGCAGCAGGTTCTACCCCCTTTCTGGATTATGGCCGACACACCAGAGTTCACACACATGTACCCAGTCCTGCTGAGTGTGTGATGAGGACACACTTGGCTTTTTGTCCTCAGGGGGAAAATGTAGGTCTCATTCCGCTCCTTAGAGCCCTCTGTAGCCCCTTCTTACCTCTGAAATCATGTCACCTCCATGTCTGCCTTGACTCTTGTCTCCACCCAGTTGTCAGGGAGCTGGAGCTGCCTCTTACTTCTGGCCATCCCCACAGCCTGCCAACCAAGTCAGTAGATACATATAGGGACACCAGTGATCAGAGTTGGCAAAGGGAACCATCTCTGCTCCATTCGGTACCAATGTTTCTCTGGCCCAGCCTTACCAGCACATCTGCTGGGGCTGTGGGACAGGACCTGCATGGGGACTACCTACAGTGAGGATACAGGCAGAGGTGTCTTGGCACCTTCCACCCTCCAGAGGTGTATGAGGGAGGGGCGGGACTCAGGATGACAGCTCCAGACTCTGTCAAGGGCAACAAAACTCTGAGGCCACACTAATAAAGGGTGTCATCCTTTTTTGCCTAACCTGGGACTCTACATGATGTTCCGGCCTGGGCTTCCTCAGAGGCCTGGAAATGTGAGCCAGGAAACCTGTGCACAGTGAGATGGTAGGCCCAGGGCACTTGCAAAAGCCCATGCAAACCTTGGCTAGGGTCCCAGGTGACAATAACAGGATGTCAGGTGGGCAGCACTTAGATACTGTCCCATGAACCCCTGAGGCTGCATAGCCTTGAGCTGGGCTGGGCTTAGGCTGATCATTTGTACCCCCAAATCTCCCAAGGCTTTCTGGACGAGTGAGGAACCCCAACAAAGGAACACAACTGAGATTAAAGGGGCAAGGGTCTCTGGTGAGTTGGGACAATCACCCCAAAGTCCAGCAAGCTTAGGTACCCCAAATCCATTTATCAGGAACCTGGAGTCCTGGGGATCAAGGTGGGCCCAGCTGCTAGTGGCCAGAAGGACCAGAGGAAGACTGTCCTTTGGTTCCCTCTGATGCCCCAAAGTCAACTTCTGACCATACTTTCTTGGTCATCCTGCCTACACATCCCATCTCTCCAGCTGAATTTTAGCCAGCTCAGATGGACGCAGTGGGTGTTCACAAAATCCTGCCTTAGTGGAATGACAGTGCCGATTCACCTGATAGACCTCTACCCTCAGGTTGGTGGGTGTTGAAATGGGTCCCCTGGCAGGAAGTGCATGTCCTACAAGTGCTGGGGCATGGATGGCAGGTGACCCAAGGTGTCCACTGCCCAGGAAAGGCTGTGGCTGCAGCCAGTTCTGTTGCTGAGATCTTTTGAGAGACAGTTCTCTGTCAATCTTAGATGGCCCCAGGAGGCTGCACTGGAAAGAAAGGGCCAAACCAAGCTGGCCCAGAAGTCCTAAGGGGTGTAGTTCCCCTGCCCTGCCCTACCCAGCCCTCCTACAGCCTAGATCCCATCTTCTGTCCTCCCTCCTGGGACCAGATGGAAAGGGGCCCAGAGAGGCACGGAGGTCACATGTCTTTATTAGTGTATCAGAGCATGGTGGGGATGGGAGGCTCAGTGGTCACACGGCATAATGCCTGGGGTATCCACGACTGGTTTCCAAGGCACAGGTGTAGTGGCCAATGCTGTTCTCCCCAAAGAACAGTTGATGCCCGGGGCAGCCGGGAGGCCAGTCCGGCTTTCCACAGATTCCCCCATGGCCCTGTCAGCTCCTTTTGTGCAACGTGGTGGCTTTCTGTCGGTAGATCTCAGCAGTGAAGGGCCTGTGGGCAGGAAGAGGCTCTAGCGGGCTGTTCTGGGACACTACTGCACCCCCACACCAGAACCCACCCCACCGGTGATAGGACCCATATTCCCACTGTCTCCTAGAGCTTTCCCAGAGACTTCAAAGAGCAAGAGGGTCCTGGAGGGACCAGGGACACCTGCTTGCCTGCCTAGGTCTCGGGTACTAGGTGTCCCCTCCTCCCCACCCCAGCCTCTTGAGGCAGGCGGACAGCAGCCTGGTGAAGCTTGCCAGGCCAGTTCTAAAGCCAGGCTTGGTTTAACTTGGCCATCACATCCATCTCCCACACTCCACCACGGCTCTACTCACTCCTCATACAGGAGAGCCACCACGTAGACGAGGCCCACCAGCACCGTTAGCAGCAGGCCCGTGGGACTGGCGTGCCTGCAGACAGACACACCATCAGTTGGAAGAACATAGACACTCTTGCGACATAGTGGGCTGATCCTGGGCTGATGCTGGGATCCTTCAGGATGAACTAAGCCTGCAGGCGGCCCTGATTTTCTAGAGGTTCACGGAGACAGGAGGGGAGGAGGGACCCCTTTTCAGGTAGCCAGTGCTTCCTAGTCTGCTGAGGCAGAGGCCAGGACAGGGAACATTTCCACTGCCCACCAGACAGTGTTCATAGAAAAGAAGTCTCTTGTAAAAGGTTAACGCAGGGCTGCCATGAGCACACGGCCTCATGGCAAGTTCTGCCATCTGAGCTCTGGCCCACACAGAGGTGCAGCCCGTAGCCACCATCCAGGGTGGCCCTGGCTGTGGTGAAGATCTTCCCACAGCAAGACCTTCCCCTCAGAGCCAGCAGTCTCACACTGGCCCTCTGCCATGCTCACTCCCTAATGGCCACTTGGACCTCACGTTGGCCAGTCTGTCCATAAGTCATTCTGGCAAGGGCAGCGGCACAGGACCCCTCCATTGCACAGCACAGAGCTCAGGCCCACCCGCCCTTGTGGTCCAGCTACCACCTCTGCCACTGCCCTAGTCCCTGAGCCGTTCTTCCAGCACCCAGGCAGTTACAGCTCAGAGGACAGAAGTCCTTGGCAGAATGTACACAGCGTATCTGTCATGGCTTTCTGCAGGTGACCAGTCTCTGACCTCACTCTGCCAGTGAAAGCAGACAGCCTGTTAGTGACAGCAGGGAGGAGCCTGTGCATGTCTGTCTCAGGTTTCCAGAAATAGCTGCTGCTAAGCTGCCCCCCAGGCTATTTCTATGGTTACTTCTGGCTCCACTGGCTCCTGCAGGGCCTGGGCTGCTGCATCCATCTCAGCGAGCAGGGACTGAACCAGAAAGCGCAGGGACAGGCCGTGGGGTACAGGGAGAATCTGCTCTGCTCTCCTTGACTACCCCGCCTCACATCCAGCCACCCAAGCAGTGGGCTCAAGAGTGTGGGTCTCCTACGGGGCCCTGCTCACTCCCTAATGCCCACTTGAACCTCACATTGGCCAGCGTGTCCATGTGTCTGTCTGGAGGGGTAGGGACACAGGACCCTCTACTGCACAGCCACCACCCCAGGCCCTGAGCTGAGCTTCTCTCTCAACTGTCATGTCTCAATTTGTGCCCCCCAACCCTCCCAAAGCTTAGCTGGGCTCTAAACTAGGCCTTTGTCCTTGCTGTCCCTTTCAACTTGGAACTTGGAACAACTCTTGATATCTGTGTTCTGACCTGAGGGGGACAATGTTTTCCCCTCCCTCCTGGCTAAATAAGCACTTTGTCCCCAGCCAGGGTTCAGCTGTGGCTCTGGTCACATGAGGTTCTATGGGTCATGAGTCAGGGAAGACCTTGGGAGATGGCTGGTGTTTGAGAGCCCACAACACCAAGCTGGTTGTGAGCATGGCCCCCACAGTTCACTACCACACAAAAAGCAAGCAGAGCTGAAGGAATATGCTTTGGAGCCAAGAACTTAAACACCAAGACCATCTCTGTCCCAGATTTACTCTATGGCCTGAGGTGAACTCAGTCTTCAGCTTCAGTTTCCCCACCTTTCATGGGAAAGGATGGACTCATTGGCCTCGACTTTCCATCACAATTCCTAAAGGAAGCAAATCTTTAATTGCCTACAATAGTCACAGATGTGACCCCAGCCAAAGGCTTGTGGGAGACCCTGGAAGAACTTTCCCTGCCTTGATCCAAGACACTAGGGTGGGTGACAGCACTCCCATGGGCTCTAGGAAGCCAGATTCAAGCAGGAGTTAGATATTGTGGACAAACACCCCTCCTCCTGCCTCAGGTGGCAGCACCAGGCCCATGGTAAATGCAAGTTCAAAGACCTTGTAGAAGATGATGATATGGGCATGTACAGTCCTGTCAGCTGGTTCCCTGACACCCCCCCATCTCCATGAAAACCCAGCCACTTACTGTCACCTTGATCCAGCTTGACTATCTAACAACCCCAGGTACACAAGATAATCCCACTGGCAGATGATCATGCTCAGCCCAGAGTCAAGGAGAGCAGAGCCCAGGGTCCTCCACTCCTTGTTGTAGGTCTGGGGAGGTGGAGGGCTAGAGAAAGCAGGGGTCCAGGGCCTGTGTCAATCTTGGGCCCCTAGAAATCCCTTGCCTTGTCTGCTAGGGATTCATACACAGGAATGAGACTTGAGAAGCAGGAGTCAGGCTGTGGGAGGCCTGCTGGGTCAGCGTCTACTGCCGGGTAATGGAGTGTCTCTAATAAGTCCTCAAATGAAGGCTCCAGCCCCACCATGCTGGGCCTCTTAGCAATGCACATCAGGACCCCGTGGAGGCAGCTGTAACATGTCACAGCTGTCACAGGTCTCAGAATCCTGACCTGGACACTCTGAGCTTGGAGTGACCTTCACTCTTGGGCACTGGGCACTACTGGTGATACAGACGGATGTGTACGACCTTGCCATAGAAAGGAGACAGGTCACTAGTCACTGACTCCAGCACAGGACACTGGAAGGCTAGAGGAGGCAGGAAGGACTTTCTGGAGGAGGGGACAGCATCAGTTGGGTTTGGAAGACTGGACTAGGGATGGATGCAGGCAGGTTCCAGTCAGAAGGGACAACAAGTATGCATTATGGGAGAGGAACTATGCCTTCTGGGAGATCAGGAGGTGGCAGAAGGAGAGGGTAGAAGAGGGCTCAGTTTGGGTCTGGACACCTAGGGCTTCTGAGGTTACCAAGTACTCACATAAGTGCCCAGCCTAGGTAGTTGGCTGTACTCCCCCAGTACATGGGGTTATCTAGCACGTTGAAGGGAAATGTGGTCACTCTGGCCTCCTTGAGGATCCCAAAGTAGTCACCTGTGGATCAGACGGGATAGAATGTGAGGGTGACTTCGCCATCTATGTCCTAGGCCACACTATTACTTAAGGAAATCCCCAGTGAGCCTTGGAAGATCTGCATGGGATGTGGGTTCCTGTGCTCCAAGAAGCTCCCAGTCAGTGGTGGGACCAGAGCCCACAGCTACAGGATCGGAACCTTCCCACCAGCTCCACAAGTGAGCTGCACACTGAGCTTCCCAGCTTAGTCCTCTCCAGAGCCCCAGCCACTGGGCTCTCCCTTCTTCCTAGCAGGCACCCCTGTGTCTGCCTGTTCCTTTCTTGAGAAGCCTTACCCTATCTGTGCAGATCTCCCTCCTAGGGCCTTCCTCCCTCCTTCAGAGCCCCTTCCCATCAGTACCTTCAGAGTGTCAGTCCTCTCTTGTCCGCCTGGCTCTTCCCTCCTCCCTCCCTGGCTGCCTCCCCCCTTTACCTCCTAAGCCTCAATATTCCTCTTGGGGTGCCAGATGCTAGGGTGTGACTTGATTAGCTTTGTCAGCTTGACACAAACTAGAGTCACTTGGGAGGAGGGAACCTTAATTAAGAAAGTGTGTCCATGAACTTAGCTTGTGGGCATCCTTGTGGGGCATTTTCTTGATTAATGATTTATGTGGGAAGGTTAAGGCCCAGCTCAGTGTGGGTGGTGCCATCCCTGAGGAGGTCCTGGGTTGTATAAACAAGACAAAGCTGAGCAAGCCATGGAGAGCAAGTCAGCAAGCAGCATTCCTCAGTCTCTGCTTCAGTCCCTGCCTTAATTCCCAGCCTTGGGTGGACTGTAACATGTAAGCCAACCACACCCTTCCTTCCCAGCTCGCTTTGTTTATCACAGCAACCAACTAGGACAGGTCAGCTGTGGCTCCAGCCTGCCCACCACATGCCTCCTGTCACTTTGGAGGTCAGCCCAGGGGAGTTGACATGGGGGGAGACCACCAGATGGCCAGTCATGCATCCACCTAACCAGGCTACTCTCACAGAACAAAGCTTCTGGCCGAGGTGTCTCTACATGGTGAGTGTCTCCACTGGGCCAGGGCAATCTTTCCCAGCAGCCTCTCCTTTGTCCCCCTCTAGACCAGAGAGACAATGCAGCTCCATCCCAGGCAGAAAGTAGGGCAGCCAGCTCAACAAGGGGAGCCCCTGCAGGAGGTGCCTGGTAGAAATGGTGCTGTCATTGTCAGGGACAAAAGGTACAAGAGTCCAAGAGCCTAGCCAGGGACCACAGGGAGGAAGCAGGAAGCGGGGCAGTGGGGCCTGACGGTAGGTGGCACAGAAACCTGCTTCAGGCTGAGTCACAGGAGAGGAACCATTCTGCTCTACTTTCAAAGCCTGCAGGGCCCTCTGCTTTCTAGGCCGTTTCTACCAAAAGCCATGTCAGAGCTGCCTGCACCCCTCTGACTCACTCATCTGTCCCTGACCATCCATGGTGGGCACCTGTCTGTCTTCTAACACCCAGGTACCTTCCCTGGCTTTCCACCCCTACTGCCTGTAGCCCTTCCCACCCCACCCCTCAGCCCTGCTCACCCTGTCTTCCAGGACCGGACAGTACCTCATCTCTTCCTTAGGTGGCCACAGACCCTTTTCCACCCACAAGTCCTGGGGTGACCCTCCCACTGCTCCCTGTCCCCATCTCTGTGAGGAGGACCAGTTTCTACACGAGGCTCCCTCCTCTGGTCTTGGTCCCACCATTCCCCATCCCCAACTCTTTGTTACAGAGATTCTTTCCATGGCTCCTACCGTACCTTGGGAAGATTCAGGCCTTCAGTCAGCCATGAGTCTCTATCTGCTCCCTAACCCTGTCCCAACTGCCACAGCTCTCCAGCATCACCACCTGCAGCCCCCATTCTGACCTGCTCCTCCTCCAGCCTGCATTCTGCTTCTCCTCTCCCCAGTCTGGCCTCACTCTCTCAGGATGGCTCCCAGCAGCTCCTGCCTGAGCAGCAAGCGCTGAGCCACCAGTGACACACTAGGATGCCTAGCTCAAATGCTTCTTGGTTTCTCATGGCATTGTCACAAGCACACACTTCAGAGCTCCAAGTCTGCTGCTGGACAGCCTGGCCCAGGCAGAGGCCAGGCCAACATGTATGCTAGCTTTGTATGCATCCTGGAACAGGAGAACGCTCTTCAACACATTTTCCTATCACTTGGATCAGCAGACTGGACGGTACTTGAAGTGTCAGTGGCAGACAGATGTTCTTAGGAGCCTTTGCTGGAACCCTGGGAGGCTAGGTGACAGTAGCTTTGAAGACTACTAGAGGTCCTGGTGGCAGTTAAGGCCCAGAGACTTGCCTGGTCTTTGCATGGTCAGAAGCCAGGAGGGGCCAAATTTTGTGGCCCCTGTGCAGAGGCAGCTCTCCTGTAGCTGTGCTAGCTAGCCTCCAGGGACATCCTAGGAGCTGGAGCAGGCACCTTTGTAGATGGGGCCACTACCTTCTCTCCATCAACATTCTGAAGGCCCCCTTTCCCTCAGTCTCTTCTGTGGAAGTCTCTCTTGAGCTTGCCCTCTCTTGTTTTCACGATGGCAGAAGTGACTGTTGTCATGAGTTGAGGTTTCTGGCCAGATCAGATCACTTTGGGTTCCAGATCCAAAGCACCAGAGCCCCCAGGGAGTGGAGGATGGAGACCACATCCCTCTGTCCTTCACCCCACCCTAGACCTGTAGAAACTTTGCCTGTACCTACCAAGATCCTACACCCTGGTAACCAACTGTGCTAAGCAAACCCAAGAGTGGTCTTGTTGCGGAGGGTCTTACCCCCATCAGCCCTCATCCAGTTCCAGCTCTACTCTGTATTCCTACGCACCTACTACCTCACCGTTCCATGCAAACAAGAGTTGAGGGCCTTCTTCAAAGGAACTGAGGCCAGGAGAGCACTCTGGTGTCCATCAACCAGGACTAGGATCTTTCTTATCTCCCAGGAAGCAGCTTGATGCCCCGGAGTCCAATGAGCTAGCAAAACTGAATCTGTCCTAACCATGACAAGCTAGGTCACCCAGTGCTTCTCAAGGCACATCAGAGATAGCAGATGACAATCACTGGACTCTTCTCCTCCCTGCACCCCAGTGTACCTGCCCAAGGTCACCCCATACCTCAGGCTCTTACCTAGAAAGGTCCCAGTGAACCCCAGTGCAAAGAAGCTGGACAGCACAAATACGAGGCCCCCACCCAGGAGTGCAAGGCCCAGGAAGTAGGTGGCGTGATTATCCAGGCCCTCCATCTTGGGCTGCCTCATCATGGCCTGTGTGAAGCTGTGGAGCAGGGGATAAGGAGAGACAGCATGTCATAGCATGTATGGCAGGTACCCTGCCTTTCTCAGAGTTGTTAGCCCTCGGGTCACACATTCAAAACCACAGAGGCACTACAGGTAGGGCCCAGGCTCCCGAATGAACTATCTAGTCTTCAGTGTCATGAGGACTAGACAAGATCAAAGGCCAAGGCCTGCCAAAGATTTTTTAATCTTTTCATGAGAAGTCACAAATTCTGACATGTATGCAAAATACCCTAAATTTTAGAAATAGGTTACTCATAAAAACCATCTATAGTTTCATGTACATTAGCAGGGTTCAAATCAAGGGTCACCATTTTGCACATGCAGGCCCTGTTGACTTGACTGTGAATGAGAATTAAGCTCATAGAAGAACAGGTACATTTGCAGTGACCAGTACACAGCAAGCCCAGCACCTGGGGCCTGAGCTTGGCACGTGCTACGTGTGGTGATGGACACCATTCTCCTTGTAGATTCAGGCCTTTGCTGGCTGTGCCCACACTGCTGATTTGCTTGCCATAGCTTCTGCCAAGGCCAAGCCACACTTGGGCAACTGGCCTAAATTTTAAATCCCACCAAAGGCTCTTTATATCCTCCCCTCATCTAGGCTGTGTGGCCAAGTGATGGGAGGCCCTCCTCAAAGGCAGTCTGGGCAGAGGGGTGCATGTGAACAGTGGCGGTGTTGGCGGGCGTGGAGGGTCAGGCTCTCTGTGGCACCTGTCACAGGAGAGGATGGAGAATTTAGGGAAGCGGGTCAGTAATGGGTCTGGGCCTCACCAGGAGAGAGGGTGGGCACTGACAACAGGAAAGATGCAGGTTTGCAAGGGATACAAAGGGAGGATGTGTAAGGCAAGCGCTCATGTATAAACACATTTCCATCTGTCCACAATCATGACGCTTAGAGGAGACGTGGAGATTTGCTGTCCATACACGACTACATATATTTCTCTATAGGTTCCCCTATCTCACTGAACCATCCATCCATCTATCTGTCTGTCCATCCTCTATCCACTCACCCACCCACTGCCTACCTACCCATCCCATTCATCCCTTCCTCAGTCCATACCACACCCATCAACACATCTGTCCAACCTTCTCCTTCCATTTATTAACCTAGACACCAGAGACCCAGCTACCCACTTGTTCATCCACCCGGTGTCCATCTGCCATCACCCAGAGCTTGTTTATCTTTCAGACTCTTTCGACAGAGCACATCATTCACTCAGTGGGTCACACTAAACCTAGCTTCATTGGAATTCTTCCTACCAATCTGATGTTCCACTCTTGGAAACAGTCACTTTGGCTCTCAGCACAGGCCAGGAGATAGATGAGAAAGAAGGGAGGACAAAGGCCTGAAACAAACACCATGGCAGAGGCTGGAGGTGACCTGCCACCAGCAATGTATGGTGTCAGGGCAAACCCACAAGTGACCTGTAAGCAACAATGCATAATGTCAGGGCAAGCTCAGCCATCAGTTCAGCTGCCCTGGCCTAGGGTTCTTCTGCAGCTCAAGATGGGTTTGTGATTGTGGCTGCTGTGGAGCTAGGTGGCATCTCTTACACCCTGTGTTGTGAGAGGTGGCTGCACCTACAACCCACACTCTGGACAGCACAATGACCCCTCCACACTGTAGATCCTGCTGCTGAGGCCATGGAAAATTAGACTCCCAGCCTCATACCCTTCCTGCTCTCCCTTGAATGCATGTGTAGTGGGAGAGGTATATGAACCAGACCTTCAGGCTGAGTCGTGCTGGCTATATGCAGACACCTGCTTCTTGGCCATGTGACATAAGGGCCCATGGCACAGAGAAGGTTGATTCTTCAGCAGGCTGGGTAGTACTGCATAGGAGGAGCCTCCGGGCTCCATCTACCTGAACAGAGGATAGAGAACCTGTGGGGCTCTTTCTGGCCAGCCCTAAGCCAGCTGTCTTGAGTTCTCAGGGACACCATCAGTGGCCATATAAGAGCTGTCAGCTCCTGGCAGAAAAGGGGGTAGGATACCTCAAACAGACTTGAAACCTGGTATTGGTGTCTCCTTTAAGTTACTGTAGTGACCCCTCTCTCTTCCTCTTCATACAGCACTGCTGCTGAAGGGCTATACACATGGAATGGTTCATAGCTCCAGACTGTAGAGAGTGGACAGACAGGAGAACTCTGAGGCCAACCCCGTGACAAACTCTGGGAAGATGCAAAGCATGTGGGACACTGTGCTAGCTGGTGCCGCAATATGGGTACTGAGTGAGGACCTCATGCTTTAGCTGAGATCTGAAGGGAGCATTCACGTGGTGGGGTGTTATAGAAAGACTATTCCAGAATGAGGAATGGCTGGGGCTAGACACTTTGAGGCTCAGAAAAAGTGCAGTACAAGAGGTGTTTGGAAGAGGCTGCAATGTGCACACACTGTGTGGAGCAGAGGACCAGGAGGCTGGGGGTCCCTGTGGATGGAGACTGCAGGAATGACTTCTACCAGTGATGTCTGGCCCAGCTAGGAAGGGAAGATTGCAGACAAGGTCTGGAGCCCATATCAGACACCTCACAGACTTAGTGCCCCTGTGGCCAAGGATGGTCCACCCCTGGCTCTGTTTGCACCATTGGTGGACTTTCCTCCAGTGGCGGGATAGGAGTAGGGCAAGAGAGGCAAAGTGCACCATGGGTCCTTGGCTCCAGCCTACTGAGATGACATGTGTGTGGAGATGGTAGCGTGGGGGGGGGTAGGAGGGGTCATTTTAGCCTAGTGGCCCGTGTACCAGGTGACACATGCAGGCTCACTAGAACTGATGCCTAATTAGGTAGCTGGCTATATACTTTCATATGTCATGAAAGCACAGGCCATTCCACAGGGAGAATTAAGTAGAAACAAGTGCTCTGCAGCCACATTCCACAGCAGAGTGGGCTAACAGGAGCAATTTTCCTTCAGAGCTATTCTGCACTGTGTGTCAGTGATGGAGATTCATTCCTGGGCTTTGGGTCCTATTTTTAATGTTAATCTTATTTTATTTTTTATGTATGGGTGTCTTTCCTGCATATATGTCTATACCACTTGTATGCCTAGTGCCTATAGAAGCCAGAAGTCACATCCCCTGGAACTGGGGTCACAGATGGTTGTGAGTCACTATATGGGTGCTGGGAATTGAACCTGGGTCCTCTAGAAGAACCACTGACCCATCTTTCCAGCCACTCGCATTCTGTGTTTTTAAGGACTGAACTTTCCATCAGCAATGAGACTGGAGGCTGCCTGCACTCTGCTCCTCACACTTGACCACTTGAGGTGTGCACAGCTGCTGAGAGGCTGACTCCTGTCCCTGAGCTTCCCTAGCCTCACAGCCATGCATAGGGTGGCCTGAACTCTCCATCTCAGGCTTCTCTTCACAGTCCAGTCAGGCCAAGCAAGACCAGGAAACTAGGAATCTGATGGGCTCATTTTTCCAATACAGAGCACAGGAGCTCAACAGCTCACCACATTATTCCCTATAGCAAGGCTCCCACACTGCACTAACCAAACCATCTCCCCAAGGTTTCCCTGAGCCTGGCAGCATCCAGAGGGTCTCATACACTACCAGCTGGCCTGTTAACAAGCAGGTCCTCAGCCTCACCACGTGAAAGGTGACATATGGCATTGTCACTCAGAATTCAGGCTGTTAGGGCCTCAGCTGAGGGGACAGATTCAGCTCTACCTGGATATTATTCTGGCTGGTCCCCCTTACTATTCCCCCCACACTTGTTTTCTTGGGATCCAGGAAACCAAAATCAGATTCCCTCTCTGCTTCTCCAGCCATGCACAGGGACCTCCACTAAGAGACAGCAGGGGAGAAGAGGTTCCAGTGTCTCCCTGGTACCCAGCCTGGTTGGTCATCCAACTGCCCAGGGGCCTTGCTTTAGCCCATGAGAAGCTGCAGCTCAGGCCGGCTGCCATCAGGGGGCTGCTGAGGGAGGGGTTTCAATGGATGCCTCCCAATCCAGAAGGCTTCATCCTCACTCAAGACACAGCCAGAACCCAGCCAGAGCCCAGCCTGAGCAAAACTGTTCTTTGCTAATCACTCCCTTGAGTCCAGATTTTGCCTTAACCTCCAAATAACAAGCTAGCTTATCCACCCTGGTCTCTTCTCAGACCACCAGCTAGTGCAAGCCAGCTGATACATCATGAGTGCTAGTGACTCACCAACCACTGGGGGGTCCTGGCATCACAAGAGGCAGGCAGACTTGGCTCAAATACACCTGTTCTCCTACCATGCTGACTCAGTAAGGCACACACCAGCTGAGATCATATCATCCCAGGTGACGAGGACAAAATCAGAGGAGGTATCCAGAACAAGGATGCTTGTAGCTGGACAGTGCAGCACTTGCTTAGGAGTATGAAGCCTGGGCTCCAACTCTAGCACCATAAAAAGAAACAAGCACCAGACTGGCCCCTGGAGACCTCTGGCCAGCACGGCAGAGACTGGCAAGAGGGCATAGACTAAGTCTGGCAGAGAGACAAGCTGGGTGGGGCCCTTGCCTCACCCAACACTCCTGACCCACAGGAGGGGAAAATGACAAGGGTCTGCAGTTAGGGTGTCCTGCCATGGGGAAGCTTGGGCCAAATGCTTACAGAATGTGAATATGAGGACCTGGGCCCATCACTCACATCCCTGCCTGGCTACTCGCACACCAGACACTGGGTGACTGATGGCCTCTTCATAGGTGCATCCTGCACCTACAGCACCAAGCCAGGATAAGTAGAGTGGCCACGCCAGGTGTGCATGCCCTATCTAAGGGATTAGCCTCAGTGACCAGTCCACACAGGGTACTTCTTCAGCCTAAACTGCAGCACCACCTTCTTTATTTCCTAAAGCAGTACAAAGGCTTCCTCCAGCCTATGTATGTGCAAAGTCTGTGATGAAATCCATGGGACCTGAGAAGCGGATCCAAGCCTCAGAAGTAGCCATGCTAGTCTTGAGCCAATCTGAACAATAGATTCCACTGTCTTCCTGCATAGCCTGAGATCCTATGGTGCAGTGCTCAGTTCAGCTAGGCCCACACCAGGGAAGGAGGTCCATGCAGAGCCTCTGCTTCTGAGCTTCACCATCAACTACTGTGGCCATTTTCCTTGACGACAGGAAGGCAACACGTCCCAAGTCAACAGGCAGGCCAATGGCTTCTAATGGTGGTCTAAGCTTGATCCCTGACCCCCAGGGACTCCTAGCCAGAGTGTCTGTCTCCCATCTTGGCATATTGTAGAGGAAGCTCTAGGGATATAAGCAAGGGGAATATCCCCAGGTATTGTCCCCTCTGCTCAAGCTGCTCCTTTCACTGGACAATGATATCCAAAATCACTAGGATGCCTCTGCCAACAGAGATACAGGTGGCTGACAATGACCTGAGGCCTCTGGGAGCAGTGCTCCCTGGACACACTGACACAGAACTCCCAGGCATTGGTGAACCTGCTGGCCCTCCCTCTGGGAGCAGTGCTCCCTGGACACGCTGACACAGAACTCCCAGGCATTGGTGGACCTGCTGGCCCTCCCTCTGGGAGCAGTGCTCCCTGGACACGCTGACACAGAACTCCCAGGCATTGGTGGACCTGCTGCCCCCACCCTCTCCTGACCATGACTTTCACATGGACAAGCTTTCGTGGTGGCCCGGGGCTTACCAGTGGGAGCGGAGGACGTTCAGAAGTAGGATGCTGCTGCCCAGGAAATAGCAGGCTAGGTAGGGGGACCCGAAGGCCCTGCTCAACTTGCGAGTTCTCTGCTCCCACCTTGCTACCTGCATGAAGGGCCGAGAACAAGAGTGAGAGGTGAGGTGCTGGCTGGGGTACAGGAAGGGCAGGAGAAGCAGGTCTGAGTGTCCAGGCCCAGTTCCAAGGAAGGTGAATGACAGGGTACAGCAACTGTGATCAGTTGGGAGTCAACTACACATCAGGGCTGTTCACAGGACTTCCACCATCCCTTAGTGTAGGTAGGATGGAGTGGCTAACAGGTTGACAGTCACCCTAAAGGTGGGGACTCAATTCTCAGGCCATCTTATGAGCTGTGTATCCTATCTCGTGCAGTTCCAAAGGCTTCTATTATTTAGAAAAAGACAAGATGCCACCAGCAAAGAAGCCTCAGAAGTGGTGGCCCCAGGCCTCTTCCTGTCACCATCAGGGACTCTCACAGGATTGTTTCAAGGGCAAGACAAAGCAAATGCAGTCCTTCACCCTGATGCTGTGCTCAGCCTGGCCTCTCCCAAAGGAAGAGACTGCACATGTATAATTTTTAGTCTTAGCATCCTTTTATTTCCAACTAGTCACATCTCAACTTTAAGCCAGAAGAAGAAAGTAAGTCCCTCTCTCAACTCTCTGCAGACCCCACCCCTGAGTTCCGTGCACACATCCACATCCAAGTTGCTAGAGTTGCCCCCACTGGGCCCCTGGGGCGTTGTGCCTGAACCAGGTGCTCAGATGAACTCTGCTGATGCAGAGAAGAGAGGATGGAGTCGGGAGGATGCCCAAGGGCAGGCATACACTTTGGTTGCCTAATTTTGAGGGCAAGCTATCTACCCCCCAATGCCCTGAATATGAATATGTATGTGTGTTTACATGTATGTTTGTGTGTGCACATGTGCATGTCCATGTGTCTGGGCACATTCATGTGCATGTATGTGTCCATATGTCCGTGTATGTGTGTATGGATGGTCCTCAACTCAAATTGGAATTTTTCAGTTTTAGAATGGTGCAAAAGTGATGCTTTTGGTGGAAACCACACTAAATTTGAATTCAGTTCTTTCCAGACTAATGTGATCTAATCCCCTCACAGCACTGAGCAGTGTCGGAGGTACAGCTACATCAATCATGAGGGAACTGACTGCTCTATGGTGGGCTATGAAGGCAGTACTGGGGAGGGGGAGGACACTTAGTAAATGACATGAGCTAGTCAACAATTTATCATAAAATAGATTTGCGTTTCTGTTCAGCTGGGATACTTATTTGGTTAGATGTGTTAAGTGTATTCACTGTGGGTTTTTTGGGTTTGTTTTTGTTTTTACATTTACTACTATTTCGTGTATAGGTTTGAAAACCTGTACACAAACACACACACACACACACACACACACACACACACACACACACAGGCATGCACATGCAGCCAGGCAGCTAGGCATGCATGCATGCACAAGTACCATGGAATACATGGGAAGTCAGAGGACAATTGTTCATTCCTTCTACCATGTTGGCTCTAGGGATTGAATTCAGTTCATCCAGCTTGGCAGCAAGTCCCTTAACTTGCTGAGCCAACTCATAAGCCCCCAGGTAATTTTTTTATTTATGATATTTGATATTTTCAAGTTACTATGGTTCACCCAGACCAACCCCCACCATAAGCAGTGTATATCCATTGGGGGTCCCAAAGCCCCCTACACTGCTGAAACTGTCAGCAATTTTTATTTGCTGAGTAGAGACTGAACTATTTTTCATAGCAGCTACAGTTTCATTCCCACCATGTTATGGCACAGTACACTAGGGCCAGTCATTACATCTATCACAATCCTGGCCCCACAGTCACTGTCTGCTGCCCAGGTGACTTCCCAAACTGGCCTGCCACGTTGGGAAGCTGATTAGTGGGGAAGTGCTCACCAGCCCCAGGTACTGATGAATTAATTGGCTTAGGGCCACTGATTCTCCATCTCCAGAATCCCTGCAGATGTTAGCCTCAGAGCCCATATAAGGGAAGGAGGGGGAGGGGCTTTCCCAGACCTTCTCCTTCATCTTTTCTTGGTGCAGTTGCCAATTCTCTTGAAAGGCAAACAGTCTTTAGACCTTTCTTGACGGTACCCTTCACTCAACCCTATGGGATGCTGAGTTCTCTCCTAGGAGGGAAAAGGAAGGAGGGCTTTGGGGACATGCTGGGATCCAATTGCCTATGGCCTAAGGCCACTTCAGCATACTCTTTGGGACCACTTCATGTGTTTCTGTTTGGAATGAAACTCAAAAGGGCTTTTTAGTGCCACAATCACTGTGACTTCTTTCAGACCTTTGCATCACCCTGAAGAAAAGCCTATACCCATCAGTATCCACCCACCCCATTTTTCTTCCCCACCCCTAGTACCCACCAGGCTGCTCTCCATCTCCCAAGACTGGCCATTCCAACATTTCGCATAGACCCACAGCCTCTGTGGGTGGCTTCCTGCAATTTGTGCATCAGGTATAAGGCCTCCAGTCCTTGGTACAACATTACCCTTTCCGGTCATGAGGTGGTGGACGTTAGGGAACTGTCATTTTGGCTGTTTAGAATAATGCTGGCAGTGAGAATCATGTCTAGGTTTTTTTTTATGGGCACGTGTTATCATTTCTTCTGGCCATATATCTAAGAGTACAATTGCTGGGATATAATGAGAATTTTTTTAGTTTGCTGAGGAGATAAAGGGTGGGGTTGGTCAAGGGAACTTTTGGATAGGGTAGAGGGGTTAGTAACACTAGTTAGTGCTACTATTGTTAGTGACACAACTAGTAAAACATCAGTTGCTTCAGTGTCATTGTTTTTCTTGGTTTCAAGACAAGTCAAATGCATGGGAAATTCCCATCCACAAGTGCAGAGATGGAGACTGGGGCCTTGGAGACTTCCCCTTAGACCCCAGGCTAGAAGTCTTCCTATCCAAAAGCCTAATCGGCAGGTCTGCTTGCTGTCTTAGTTAGGGCTGCTATTGCTGTGATAAAACACCATGACCAAAAGCACCTTGGGAAGGAAAGGGTTTATTTCACTCACAGTTCCATGTAACAGTTCATCCATCACCCAAAGTAGCAAGGGCAGGAACTCAAACAGGGCAGGAAACTGGAGGCAGGAGCTGATGCAGAGGCCATGGAGGATGCTGCTTACTGACTTGCTCCTCATGGCAGATCTTAGGGAAGCATTTTCTCAATTGACTTTCCCTCCCCTAAGACAACTCTAGCTTGTGTCCAGACATAAAAATAGCCAGCACACTTGTGGTCACTGGGCTACCCACTTCTGGTTCACTGATATTTCTTCTCCCAGTTGATATTTCCAGATATAGAAGTCTCAGGACAGGTGTGATCACACAACAACATATCTCTAACGCTAAGTGACCCTCCCATAACCTGCATCACAGAGACCCTAGATGGAGAGTCACACTGTGGGAGACTTCTCTGAGGGAGGGAGGGAGGGAGGGAGGGAGGAAGGGAGGGAGGGAGGGAGGGAGAGGGGAAGAAGAGGAGAAATCCCAATATCAGTTGAATGGAACCAGTGAACAAGGCACTGGGAAAGGCCTAGGAAGAAGACAAAAGGAATGGAAGGGTTTCAATGTTGATGGGGGCTGTGGTGACATCTGTCCAGACTGAGAAAGCTATGTATGCTTCAGTTTATAGACAATGCACTCCAGGAAGTTGTTAGGAATCACATCCTTGTTGGACCTGACCTTTAGGGTCAAGTGAGAGAGCAAGGCTGGCTGCCAATGACATGGACCGTGCAGGCCCTCCCTCATCCCCTGAAGGTAGGTCTTTCCTCCTGGCTTAACGAGGCTTTTGGTCTATACCCCTAAATACCCAAAGGTACATGGCAGGCCTGCTGAAGCCCACACTGCAAGAATACTTGCATGCAGCAGGAAGGAGGGTACCCTGTAGCCAAGCAAACTGAGCCTGGAAAAGCCCAGATAAGCCTTGGGTCTCTGACACCCAAACTCTGCTGTTTCCAGTCTTTGGAGTTCTGGTTACAAAAATAGGTACCCTTGACCACTCCACTGTGACACCTGGGCCTCTCTCACATTGCCAACCTCATCTGTCATTTAGCCTGTGACAGAGCAAGTGAGGAATGTACACTTTGAACAAAATGACACCAAAGGCCTCACAGAAAAGGGAAAAGGTACGAGAAGGTCCCATGAACAACAGGATCACTTGATTCAAAAGCTATTCAATCAATTTGTAGCCTGCAGTCCCACGGTGACTGTTTTACTATCCTTTTCTGGGTGCTGAACTGCACACTTCATCCAAGTGAGAGGCAGGAAAGGGTGCCAGGGCTGCAGTGACAGCTGCTGACACAGGAAACCCTGCTGACACTTTGGAAGCAGCCCATTAGCACTCGTGAGATCATTCACCTGGTGAGAGGCCCAGGGATGTCACTGCCACCACCTGCTACCATGCTGAGTCAGCTGCCTCCCTGCGTGGTGGGAGGGCAGACCAGGTAATGGACAGGAATATTCTGGCACAAGTGTCTCTCCCAGGGTGTATGAAAGCTGTATCCTCCCTGAGTTCTACAGCTACCTGAGCATGGACAGTGTCCTCTTTCTTTCTGATCTGCTCAGGTTGGGAAGGTTCTGGCCATGGTAATGATGCCAGCCTGGTTGTAGTGGTAGCACATGTGTGTGCCTCTCCCTAGAAGGGCACACAGCTGCCATTCTAGTCAGAAAGGATGATCCTTACTGGAAGTTTCCAGTGCTCTGTTCTTGGTATCATCAGGTACTACACCACTGGCCTCAGACAGGGGTCTTAACTAGTAGTCCATGATGAGTTTTGGTCAAATTCGAAGCACTAAAATATATATATGTAGGACTGGGGCTGGAGTATGGCTCAGTGGTGGAGTGCTAGCCTACCATGTACAAGGTGCTGGGCCCTATATCTAGCATTGACAAAAAGGAAAAAAGATGAAACATACTTTATCTAACAATTAAACATTCTGAATTTTATATTAGCACTCTGGCTCCCAGTCAGTGATGAAAAATCTCTAGACGAGACCACTGTGGCCAGCTACTCTATGAAGTCCCAACAGCCTTCCCTG